GTTAAAACACAGCAGAAGAAAATTCAGTGAAGTGAAAAAGAAACCCCACCGCTGTATGCTGAGGTCTCTACAAACCCTAAACCCTAAACCCTAAACCCTAAACCCTAAACCCTAAACCCTCGTTTTACCTCCTGCCCCGAACTCAGAAGAAACTGCATTTTCTCCCGCCGCCCAGTTGTCTTCGATTTGTTCTATTTCTTCTCTGCTGAGAGGCAGAGCACGAGCTCGCTCTGCGTTTGTTAGTGGCTGCACACAAACCCTAAACCCTAAACCCTAAACCCTATAAACCCTAAACCCTAAACCCTAGAACTTGTGGGAGAAATATGAAACCCAGTATTCACAGAACTATCAAAAAATAAAAAATAAATACACCGAGAGAGAGGTACTAATAAACAAAACTACACACTAAACTCAAACCCTAAACCCTAAACCCTAAACCCTAAACCCTAAACCCTAAACCCTAAACCCTAAACCCTACCCTGACGAGCCACGAAGCCAAGGCTTTGTTCTCTACAAGTGGCTGCCACTCCGAGGCATTCCAGCCGTTCTCCTCCAGCACCCCGCTTGCATAGCAACGGTCTCTGCAACCACAAACCCTAAACCCTAAACCCTAAACCCTAAACCCTAAACCCTAAACCCTAAACCCTAGGCGACAAAGCATCGGGCCATCAAGTCCCCCATACCCTAAACCCTAAACCCTAAACCCTAAACCCTTGGGATCCAGTGCTGAGCTTACGTCTAGACTCTCCCCCCCAAACCCTAAACCCAACCCCCAAACCCTAAACCCTAAACCCTAAACCCTAAACCCTAAACCCTACCTGCAGACGATGACAACAACCCCCTGGGCCTCCGAGACCAACATCCCCAATTGTAAAACATTTTTAACCCCACAAATAAAACACTCCAGTTTCGTGTTTCCTGCGGTAAACCCTAAACCCTAAACCCTAAACCCTAAACCCTAAACCCTAAACCCTAGACTCTAGATCAATGGTATACGATAAAAAAAAAAACATGGTCAGCGCAATACAGTATACAAATAAAGAAATTAGGGTTTAGGGTTTAGGGTTTA